ATGTAAACCAATTAGTTTTCACGTATTGGAATTTCCTTTTTTTTTTAGCAAAGACAAGTAGCAGAACATATTTTGGCCTAAATTTATGACTAAATTTGATATTTTTTTATTTTTTTACTGGACATATTTAGTAGCAAAAAGTCAAAATATATATATTTTTTTCACAAAATGGTCAGTCTTTTTTTTCTATAGCAATTTCATTTGGGTGCAGCGTTGCATGATCGCACAATTGTCAGTTAACAGTAACGCAAAAAAAAATGGCCTTTCTAGGAAAGGGGGGGGGGGGATAAATCCTCTGGAGGGCAAGTGGTTTAAATAAATAAATAATAATAATAATAATAATAGCCACACCTCTGATATATACACACACATACGTTTGTTTTTATTTATTCCATTTTGTTCTTAGTACAGATCTTTGTTGATCTGATCCCAGGCATGCTTGAATCCACTCACTACTGACTGACTGACTGACCACCTCTGCTGGAAGTCTATTCCAAGCATCAACTACCCTTTCAGTACAAGAATACTGCAGCCCTAAGATCAATATGACAGCCAGAGGACCGGCCTTTCTACAAGCAGCTGTGTAAGCGTCTCTCAGCACAGAGTTACTCTATTGCAGTTTTTCAATTCAGTTTATTATCCGGGGAAACCCTCCAATAAACAGGTCCAGCTGCCTACTGCTCCTCATTCAGGAGGGTAGAGGAAGGAGCCCGGTACTGCACAGCTGCAATGCTCTGTCGGTGCTGAACCCCCTATCGGTGGCATTACACGGCACACAGGAGCCTCCCGCACTCACGCAGCTCCTACCTTACACCCAGGAATGGAGGCGAAGTGTTCCGGTGCTTGTCACTGTGATGGTCCAAAGCATACTTCTCCCTGATCACTTCTCTTCCTGATGGAGTCGCCCGGCGATGACGTTAGGCTTGTCACCAGGACCCAACCCCGTGCCCCCCTCATGGCGCCCCGCACGTATTACACACACCTTCCATATATGGAAGCGTTCCGAGGATGGGCAAGTCACGCGGCTCTTCTCTGACTGGCGGCCGCCTGACCACCCTTCCCGTAGGCGTCCAATGGGTGGCAGCCAGGCTGAGGCTGCAGATGCATTGTGGGTATTGTAGTCTGCTAACAGGGAAGGCACGCACAATAGAGCCTGAGGAGCTGTCAGCAGCCTGTCTTTATGTGTCGGCTTCAAATGCCAAAGAACTCTAAATAGAACGGGAATAAAAGAAGAGCCAATGGACTCCGGCTCATGTGTGTGCTCTTACTAGGTCATGTGTGTGCTCTTACTAGGTCATGTGTGTGCTCTTACTAGGTCATGGATGCAGTTTGGACTGAACAGCTCTGTAATATATTTGTAAATGTGTTTCTCTGGGTGTAAAGCTATGATTTACATGGCCCCGCCCACTGTCTTGAAATTCCCTCTTTTTTGAGGGGATGTGATGGAAATGAGACCTGGGAATACCTTTACTCCAAAACCAAATCCTCTTGGCCTGCCTCCATCCCCCTCCCTCTGTAAATTGGATTTTTTGTGCAACCCCTCCTGGATTCTGCACCTGCACAGATGTCCCACGGAGCTTTGGACCCCCAACAGTTCTATAGCATAGCTGCACATGTTTTTGCATGTGCAAAGACAGCATGGAATGGGCAAAACATTGCCTTTTCAAATATCCTGTGCATGCGAAGATGTGTCAAAAGGGGCTTTTCCAGGATTTGGCTGCCAGGCAAAGCCAGCTCATTCACATTGAGGAGCAGTAAAATGCTGTGGTTGAGCCATGTTTTTACTGCCCCACAACTGCTGCCCTTTAGCTACAGCGCTAGCGGTGTACTTGTGACCACAATGCTTTGCTTCACAAGGAATTACACCCTGCATTGTTTTCAGAAGGAGTAGGGAGCTAATGGGGCCACTCTGCAAGCCGTTGCAACCATTTTCAGCACACTAGTGCAGGGTTGAAGGCGTTAAAGTAGTCAGTGAAGAAGTGTTACAACACCTCTTCACTGCCTGTTGAATGTTCTCAGAAGAGTGTTCCATACATAGATTCGTGAAGAGCATCCAAAACATGGATTTATGGAGAGTTCAAAACGTAGATTCTCTGAAGAGTGTTCCGAACGTGGATCTCTAAAGAGTGTTCCGAACGTGGATCTCTAAAGAGTGTTCCGAACGTGGATCTCTAAAGAGTGTTCCGAACGTGGATCTCTAAAGAGTGTTCCGAACGTGGATCTCTAAAGAGTGTTCCGAACGTGGATCTCTAAAGAGTGTTCCGAACGTGGATCTCTAAAGAGTGTTCCGAACGTGGATCTCTAAAGAGTGTTCCGAACGTGGATCTCTAAAGAGTGTTCCGAACGTGGATCTCTAAAGAGTGTTCCGAACGTGGATCTCTAAAGAGTGTTCCGAACGTGGATCTCTAAAGAGTGTTCCGAACGTGGATCTCTGAAGAGTGTTCCGAACGTGGATCTCTAAAGAGTGTTCCGAACGTGGATCTCTAAAGAGTGTTCCGAACGTGGATCTCTAAAGAGTGTTCCGAACGTGGATCTCTAAAGAGTGTTCCGAACGTGGATCTCTGAAGAGTGTTCCGAACGTGGATCTCTAAAGAGTGTTCCGAACGTGGATCTCTGAAGAGTGTTCCGAACGTGGATCTCTGAAGAGTGTTCCGAACGTGGATCTCTAAAGAGTGTTCCGAACGTGGATCTCTGAAGAGTGTTCCGAACGTGGATCTCTGAAGAGTGTTCCGAACGTGGATCTCTGAAGAGTGTTCCGAACGTGGATCTCTGAAGAGTGTTCCGAACGTGGATCTCTGAAGAGTGTTCCGAACGTGGATCTCTGAAGAGTGTTCCGAACGTGGATTCTCTGAAGAGTGTTCCGAACGTGGATTCTCTGAAGAGTGTTCTTAATGTGGATTTCAGAAGAGTGTTACGAGCATGGATCTCTGAAGGGTGTTTTGAGAGTGGATCCCTGAAGAGTCTTCCGAACGTGGATCCCTGAAGAGTGTTCCGAACGCGGATCCCTGAAGAGTGTTCCGAACGTGGATCCCTGAAGAGTGTTCCGAACGTGGATCTCTGAAGAGTGCTTCAAATGTGGATTCTTTGCAGAGTGTTTCAAATGTGGTTTCTCTGAAGAGTGTTCCAACCGTGGATCTCGGAAGAGTGCTCTATACGTGGATTCTTTGCAGAGTGTTTCAAACGTGGATTCTCTGAATAGTGTTTTGAATGTGGATTCTCTGAAGAGTGTTTCGAATGTGGATTCTCTGAAGAGTGTTTCGAATGTGCATTCTCTGAAGAGTGTTTCGAATGTGCATTCTCTGAAGTTTTTTGAATGTGGATCTCTGAAGAGTGTTCCAAACATGGATCTCTGAAGAGTTTTCTGAACGTGGTTTCTCTGAAGAGTGTTCCAGACATGGATGTCCTAAGAGTGTTCTGAACATGGATCTTTGAAGAGTGTTCTGAACATGGGTTCTCTGAAGGGTGTTCCAAACATGGATCTCTAAAGAGTTTTCCGAAACATGGATTCTCTAAAGAGTGTTCTGAACATGGATGAAAAAATGCTCGGACAATTTAAAAAATAGTTTTTCTCTGTTAAAGAAGCTCTATAGGCAACATTTTGTTTTTTATACTGGATAGAGTAGGGGAGTGTTATAACTCCTGAAATTGTTTTCTTGGCATCTGTGTCCCATTGGGGAGATTTCCCTTCACTTCTTGTCCCATAGTCAAAACAGGAAGTGATATGAATGTGTGGGAATCCCTGGTTGTCATCAGGGTCACAAAACTAGTGTCTCCATTGAAAGATTTCCTCAGAATTTCTGTTCTGGTGACAACCCAAAATTTAGGATTTTCTTTCACTTTTTGTGATAAGGGTATGGGACAAAGATAGAAACAGAAACCAAAACTTAAAAAAAAGGTTTGGCTTTTATCTATCATTTTACAGAGTTTGCTATTTAGAAGCTTCTTTTCTTTCCTCATACATACTCTGACACTGGGGTATGTTTCAAAATGACCCTTTTTACCTTTGTTTAAATGACAAATATGCTTTGTCTTCTATCCTAGAATGGCTTCAAGAGACACATTTAGTGTGCTCCAAATTCATGGCTCTCAAGAGGCCCTCCACAGCACACATCTTTCATGCTACCTACTCCTCCTTTTCCTTAATGTAAATATTATCTAGGTAAATAAAAACCCTCTGGACAGTTATGTCATTATGGTTTTTTGAACACCTTCATCACCACTTTACCATAGGCAGTGTGTATATTCCTCCCTCTTTGACACAGCCACACTGGATGCTTATGTGCATAAAATTATTGAAACTGCTAAGGGTTCATTTATCCTAGATTTTTATAATGTGGTGGATCCTCAACTGAATAGATGTGGAAATACAAGAGTATACCCCTTTGTCCACCCTGACTGGATTTGTGATTACAGTCTTACCAATATGTGGCAATGGAAATATCCAAATAAGAGGGAGTACGTTTGCCAATCATATTCCCATAATATGTCTGGAAACACTTTTCAAGTGTGAAGTGATGGTTAAGACAAAGTTTGTATGATATTGCCAATGTAGAGGGAACAAACAGCATATATTTGAATCCGGCGATAAAAATGGCCATCTACTTGCCTTTTTAGTCAAACAAGACAAAATTACCTTTCCCATACCCAGAATCTAAGATGCTGATCACACCCTACAAACTACTAATTAAGGTATCATTGTGGCCTTTCTACATTTTTACATCACGTTCTGTGACTCTTTTGCTCTTCAGCTAAAATGTAGGTCAAATTTGAAACCACAACATATCCAGGGCACTATAACAGTTGCAACATAATTGAGGATATTCACAATACTTTAATAAGTAAATTATGTATGGCATATGACTATATAAATGCTCTAATATGGCCAATTGTTTAGATAAAATATGGCAGTTCTAAAAGTGTAACACCCCAACAAGAAGATTCTATTTATTATATTAAACATATTTTAATTTTCATATTCCTTGTACAAAAAAAGTTTAAATCTAAAATCCAGGGAAAAGATAAAATTTTTTCAAGAGTGTTTTCCTCTCCTGTGTAGGCATCTGTACCTTGTCCTTGAAGGACAACTGAACCTGTGGAAACATAAAAGGCACAAATTCAAGTATCTAAACCTCATTTTTGTGAATATTTAATTAAGCTATAATAACATATAATACCAAACCAGTGTTTACAAAGGATTACTTGCTGCTTAACTACTCCCCCAGTGTAATATGCAGTAATCCTCAGATCACTGTGAGAATATTTGGTGAAATACATCTAAATTGCTCAGCTCACTAAAAAGAACTTCTAGAACCAAGTTCTCACTGGTGATTACGTGCATACACTGGATTCCAGCAGCGAGAATGCATGTGACTGTGTCCTGGCTCGGACATCCATCCGTAACCATAAATACCCATTTGGTGTATGGACAGCTTCTGTCAGCCGGTCATTACTTTGTACAGGCTGAACGGACACTGCTATACACATACGCCTGTCATCCCAGCCACAACAACCCAGTGATTCTTGTTGGATGCAGATAATCACCCTTGGGAAGGAGTCCTAAAACAAGCATTAAGTGATTGTTAATATGCTCGTGTTATAGAAAAACTGAATTTCTGATTAAAATGAAATCACTAACATCTCAACTGGAGTTCTGAGAGTAACTGCATAACAGATTGTAGCAGATAGCTATTGTAGCTCATTAAGGATCATAGAAAATGGGAATTATGACTTGTATGTTCCTAATCTTGGAGTACAGTACAAGACGTAAGGCTATCTTCAAGTGACTGGACACTGATAAAAAAAAAACCTGCTAGGGACGCTCCTAGAGCACGCCACCGCCATACCTGCACCCATTGCATGAGACAGTTTTAATGCAAGCAATTAGGAGTGGACAAAGAAGGAAGTGGCCTTTGTCCTGTACTTCACTCCAAAAAAAGCAATTTACAGCTAAGTAAAAATTCTCATTATCTTAATCGTACAGTACAAGACACAGGTATTGTATTCATGAACTATGAAGCATCACAAAGCAATAAATGGATATGTGGGCAATAACATAGCCAATAGAATTTCCAACAGGCCCACAGAATACACATGGTTTTGTGATGGATTTGGTAAAATGCCTATTTAGTTTCCTATTGAATATATATATATATATATATATATATATATATATATATATATATATATACGCTATTTCTATAAGTTTTATAAATATTTACTTTTATACTTTAATACATATGTTGTGTGAATATTTTCTGCCTGCTGGGCTTTGTGGTACTATAAGAAATCTTTGCTTAAGAAATGTCTGCTCACACACACTGCCCCCCTCCCAACGTGCCAGCTTGAAACAAAGGAATGTTGTTTTCCTATAAGATAAGACTGAAGAAGATCACACCTATACCATGATGGAGATTGTTTTCGTGTGGAAATGACCAATCAAAGACTAATATAATGCTTATGCTGTTCTCACATGACTCTCGCATCATTTTGCATATATAAGTTCACTTTCTTATTATAATAAACTAAAAATATTCATAGACTGAACTTGTGTGTCAGCGTGAGTCTCTTCCAGTGTGCGCACATTTCAAAGCTAGCGTCATAAATTAGGACAGGAACAGATAAGCACTGGACATTTTTAGTCCTTGACTAAATCAGTTTAACAGACCCGAAAACACTTAGATGACAGCTTGATGCACCTTGCTGTAGAAGCTCCTGTCAGTGTAGGTCTGAATATCCACCTGGTAAAACATGGAGAGGCCATGAAGAGAGGACTAGGTGGTGGTTTTTCAAATCTGGAATACAGATGCTTGATGCACCAAAGACCAAGAGATACCAGTGGATCTGTTGGAATGTGCTCTGATAAGGAAGGCATAGGCCATGGAAATAAGTGGTCTGATCCACCTCGCAATAGTGGTGTGGTAGGCAGGATATCCTTTTGAACAGATTGTAGGTAGGAAAAAAAGGATTTTGTGGCTGCCATGACAGCCCTGACAACATCCAGACAGTGTAGGTAACTTTTCTTGGCATGTTTTGGAGCTTGATAGAGATAAGAGACAATGATATCCTCATGGATGTGGAAAGAGTCATGACTCATGGGGGTTTATTTACTAAAGCTGGAGAGTCCAAAATCAGACTCTCTTCTGCATAGAAACCAATCAGCTTCTAACCTCAGCTTGTTCAATGAAGCTTTGGCAATGAAACCTGGAAGCTGATTGGTTTCTATGCAGAAGGGAGTCTGATTTTGGACTCTCCAGCTTTAGTAAATAAACCCCCTGGAGTCTCAAGGCTACCTTGTCCTTCTGCAATACAAGAAAGGTTCTTTACAAGAAAGAGCTGCTAGGTCAGAAATACACCTATCAGACAAATGGCCACCAGAAAGACAACCTTACATGAGAGGTCTCCTAATGGATATCCATTACTGGTTCAAAGAGGAGTCTCTGAAATACAGAGAGTAGCAGAATATGATTCCAAGGTGATGCAGGGGTTGAATTTGGGGATTGATATGAGCCACTCTCTGAAGAAAAGTCTTGAAAAAGGATTGAGAAGCAAGAGGTTTCTGAAAGAGAATTGATAAAGCAGAAACTTGTTCCTTGAGGATCTTTGGTCAACGTCAGATTGGAGAAAGGCCCATGCTTCACCTGTCATGGTGGGCATACCCCCAAAGGGGTTATCAGGGTCTGGGAAACATAGAAATGGACCATGGCCCTGGACCTATATAGTACCCTGTGGCTAACTACATACTTTGCATTTCATGCCAAGGTGAGCACCCCATACAGGATCCAGTGCTCAAAGCAAACCATTACAGGTATAACACCAAGAGTTACCAATCCAGTAACTAATAGATAGCCCATGGCAAAAAACATCCATATCTTGATAGAAGTGTCAGAAGAAAACAATGAATGAGTAAATGAAAAAAACTCAGAAAAAGAAGATGTCCATCATCTAAAGACACTAGCAAAAAATTGAGTCTCGTGGAATGGGTGGGGTTATATCAGTGTGCTCAAAAGTTCTATGCTAGTGTCCAATCAACTGAAGGTAGGCTGGATATAACCCATAGTCTATGAATACGAGCCAGAGTTTACAATCTTAAAACATGGGACCATCCTTGCTCTTGATTTGCTGTATTTAACAAATTTGGCCAACTGTTTGCAGTAGGCATGAAAAGTGATGCAAATAGCATGTCCCGAATTTGATAACATTCGGATATTCAGGATTCACTTTTGGATGGGGATCTCATTTACCTGTAAACTGTGCACAATATCATTTTGGTGCACATTATTGATCAACTAGTGGATGTGATTTGTAAATGCTGTGCTTTTTAGAATATGTATACAGCTTTGTGCAAGTGAGCACACATTTATTGCTCCCACACATTCCATATCCGTTTATAGAACCCAGACCACACTGTTAAAATCACTGTCCCCTATTAACATGCAGCCAATCCAGATCGCTGCACTCTGTACAAACAGCAGACCTCTCTGCTGCAGTCCGACACTCCATGTGAGTTGGAGCTAGAGCTCTCCAACCAACAGGAAACAAGAGTTTTGCTTAGTGGAGGGCTCTATCTTTAACTCCCAGGAGGCTTGTTGGGTCATAGCTTTCATACAGAGTGCAGCAGTCTGGGTATGTTGCATGACAATGGGAGACAGACTTTATTATGGCCAAAGGTTGCTTTACCATAACAATTACTGTAAGACTCTGCATACTTTGTGTTATAGTGCAAAAGGTGCAAAAGGTTGTATGAGGGTTCACTAGGATTAATTATTCCCTATGAATTAAGGGACACAAGTAACATGCAAGTAACATCTCATAGCAATAATCACATATAATTGAGCTTTGTGTGATTATGCAAGTCTGAGTGTTGCTAAATGTTTCTTGTGTAACTTACTTCATCTGTATGTTTTTTCCCAACATCCATAATATTAAAATGGTAGTAAACTCCCACTGCTGGCCTCTTGTACCTACAGGTAAGCTTTTAATATAGCTTACCTGTAGGTACAAGGAAAATCTCCTATACATGCACTGTTTAGGAGATATTCAGTGTCCCTGCAGCCGATGACTTAACCAGCGCATGCACCCTGAAGGAATGGCTCTGTTCCTTCAGAGCTCTGTGCTGCGGCCGAGACTTCTGCGCACATGCACAAGAGTGACGTTATCGTGGCTAGGCTAATCATGCGACCAGAGCCCGCGAACCCGGAAAGAAAAACTGGGTGAAGATGGAAGCCCTATCAGTGATGACAGTGCGCTGCTGGAGGGCTTCATTCTAAGGTAAGTCTTTCATAATGTGCTAATATACGATGCATACTAGCACATTATGATATTACTTTGCAGGGGAATTTTTTTTGGCGGATTACTACCAGTTTAAATAATCATTTCCTGTTAAGACAGGAAAATGCGGTAAAATTGCTATTAAGAAAACCCAAAACTTACACTGCGGAAGATATCTTCTATTGAATAGCGGTGGGCATCTTTTTTCATGTGCTCAATTAGGCGTAGGATGAACAAGGAACCTTTTTTGGGATCTCTCCAGGAAACAGTATCTAAATACATTAATATAAAGTCAGACACAAATGGACATATTCTTATGGCTTCTAATGTCTAAAAACTGACATGAATATATTCTTATACATTTTACTGATGAATGCAATAAACCCTTTCTGACACATTTCTAGCAGTAGGTTCCCTTTAAAACTACCTACTCCTAATTCAGGCACAGTTTCAAAAACAGTATCGATACCGCTACTTTAAGAACCTGCCACCATAGCTGTGACAGAGTGAAAAAAAAATTACTGCCAATTCTCAGATTAGGAAATTATTGGAATATAGTGTTCATGTATTTTGTGGGACAACTACATCAGTATTTGGTAGAGATATATTCTTCAACCAGTAGATGGCAGTGTTTATAATTTTGTAGCTGCATCTATGATATACTCTATGTCTTTTCACTGAATAAAGTTTCCTGTTTCTTGTTTGTAGTGAAGCATAAAAACACATGTGGACTGTGCACTGTCTGTTCTTTAGGACTATATACAGAATCTCTAACAGAAACTGGTGATAATTAAGACCAACTAAGTGCTGACATGGTGATGTCAGTGTTCAGAGAGGGGCATGTCTGTGCTAGGGAGCTGTCATAAATGTGGTTGCTTCCCGAACAGGGTTCCATCCCTGACCCTATTCAAAAACTCCTTGGTTTTTAAGGGCAAAGTGGCCAGGGAGGGAGCTCAATGCTGAGCTGCACTGAGCATGGAGGGACCGGTATGGACACCCCAGCATCAGTGCTGCCACATTCTATGACAGATTCATGTACTCATTCTCGATGGGTAAATGACTTAAAACATTGACTTTTGTAGTGGATAAGGTTAACACCCATTGACCAAGCTTGGTAATACTTGTTGCCAACACAACAAAATGCATGTTATATGTGGTTTGATACACTGGCAGAGACTTCTATGGGTCTTCCAATACACTAAAGTACAGAAAAATGTTGACATGTCATCCACTGCAGCACTGAGATGGTAACAGACAATTTTTATTACGGGGAAGATGGACACATATTTTGTTAGGTTGGAGTGTGTGCAGTAAAACACAACAAGGCAAATGGACTTTAAGAAAATCTAAGCATAAAGTAGAAAATCCCTTAAATGAGAATCTGGGAGGATAGAAATATGGGGACAGTGCCAGGGCAAGGTCATCTAGCATTGAGGCAAACATGCCAAACTTCACCCTCCCCTTCCCATAATGTATGTGCATTATGTGTCAGCAAAAATCCCCCCCCCCAAAAAAAGAGCACTAAACTGCATGCTTACCCCCTATGTATAAACTCCCAACCTTCCCAGTATAAATCCCCCCTCCCAGCAGAAATATTTGCTCCCCCCTCCTGAGTCAAATCCTCAATCTCCCTAAATCCCCCCCACCCCGCAAAAAAACACCCCACCTCACAAAAATCTTTTACCCCTCAAATTTGCACTCTGAGCACAAATCCTCTCTCCCAGATATCCTCTTCTAGCAAAAATACCCCCCGATCATCCCTATTAGCACAAATCCCTCCAAAAAAATGTCCCCTTCAAGCACAAATCCCATCCCCCCCCTACCATATCACCCCTTCTAGGATAAACCTCCCAAATCCCTTTTCTAGTACAAATCCTCTTCTTCCCTAACCCCCTTTCAAACACAAATCCGTCCAAATCACCACTGTTAGCAACCCCCAAATTTTCCCTCCTATAACAAATCTTATGCCCTGCCACCCCCACAAATTCCCCCTCCCAACACAAATTCCTCTCCAATCCCCCCTCCTAGCACATTTCCCTTCCTCCAAACACTCCTATCCCCAGAACAAATGCTTGTAACTCTGCCACCCTCTCCCTCTTCCCCATTGTGTATTCAGTATAATTTCTCTTCCCTCCGACACATACAGACCTCAGATGCAGTACAGCAGACTGCTGTGTGATGTCCGTTCTCCTAGGCTCCTCCTCATCTTGACATGTTAGTGTTCATGAGGAGCCTAGGGGAAGCAGACTTTAAAATGTTTGGCAGGCAGCTGGTGGAGAGCTGCTCTATCTGCAAGGCTATAGGATTGTGGCTTGGGGACACAATTGGCTGTCAAATTGGGCCTTTATAGGGTTTGCTTTGCCCCCTACCCACATTCTTTGCTAAGAGGTGATGGGGGTGGGTAAGAAAGCCCTGCATAGTCTCAATATGACAATCCTGATCCAGGAACACTGCAGTAGCAGAAAGGAGGAGTAGAGTGGAGAGAGCACATCCTGCACCTCCTCCCAGCTCTCTCTTCCTCCCCAGATTTAGCCTGTCTCTTCCAGCACTAAGCTGACAGAAGTAGTAATGCCGCTGTCACTACTCCTGTCAGCTTGTAGCAGCAGAAACTCTCCTTGTGATGCCCCCCCAACTTACGTGATATCACAGAGCCCAGAGTAACTTCTGCTCCCATCCCCCCACCTTGTCCCAGCCCAGGGGGGGTAAACATTACTGCATTTTAAAGGAAACCTGTACCTGTATAGGCTTTCATTTTGACATTCCTTATAAAAAAGGCTAGATATTCATATTTTGAATCAGTGATTCAGAAAGTACTACCAAAGCTTCCGTAGTTGTGTGCTTGTTCCAGGTCAGCAATGAACTGTAGAAAAGTCAAAATCAGCATAACAACTCTGGAGTCTCACACTTTAAAAGTAAACATGGCAGCCTATATTCTATCCTTGCAAATCCTCTTTAAAGTGTCACTAGAGACAATTTTTTTTAGTTTTGGATAGAGTGAAGAGGGATTAGAACACTTGTCAGTTTTTTTTTGCTGTCTGTGTCCATTAAGAAGATTCACCCTCTCTGTTTGTCCTGCTTATTATTATTGAAAGTGAGAGTGAAAATCCCAAATTTTGGGATGACATTAGCTCTGGAGACACCCCAGGTTTCCCTCACTTTGTAGGGATGTCCTCTCGCTCCCTGTTTTGGCTATGGGACAGGAAGTGAAGGGAAATCTCCCCAATGGAACACAGATGGCAAAAAACTGACAGAGGTTATAACACTCTCTTATTCTAACCAAAAATTAAAAAAAAAAAAAAAACAGTTTTACCATCAGTGACACTTTTTTTTCCTTCTGAAAACATGCTTTACAGGAATGTAAATTTTTCTGAGCTTCAGAGAGAACAGGAAAATACAGGTTACCGGGGAAGCAAGGAATAAGGTAAGTAAAAGTATTAGGTTCCCTAAGCAAAAACAAGCATTTATGGGGGGGAGCTCCTCTGCAAGAAATATTTTTTTTGTCATATTCTATGAGATCAGCTTTAAGATGAATGAGTACCTGGAGTAGTAGAACAAAAGCAGATGAAATCCCTTTCCTTCTGAAGCATTCGCATGGCATCATCTTCCAAGTTTCCTTCTACAGCACTAGGGCTGTCCGATACCAACACCTGACCTCTTTCCCCTGAAATGAATGAAAAAAAAAACACATTTCTTAGTATACAAAAACTCCATATTTCAGTTATCTGTATGAATTGCATTGCTAAAGAATAAAATACATAGGGGACATATTTGTAATCCACAATAACCAAACATTCACCTGCATAGATTGTTTGGTAAATTTCACCTTTACTACTTTATAAAAATGCCCCATATAAGTGAACTGTTTTGCCTGACAATAGCGTAATTCTGTTTATCCAGTCATGTGATTATCACCTCTATGTCACACTTCATAGCTAAGAAGTCAACTCAACAATTTTTTGCTGCAGCTTTATAGCTTCCTGGACAGTCTATCAGAAGTGTGATATTTGGCACCTTTTTTGGGGGGGGTACCTGGTTTTGACAAGTACCCGTTCCCACTTCCCGCTCAGTTCGCCGTGGTGAAGTGGGCCCGAAGTTCGGCCCCCTCCTTTCTCCTGCAGTCTCCTAGAAACTTTCACAGGTTCCAAAAGATTGCCGGACCAATCAGGATGCGCAGCGCGACTCGCACATGCACAGTGGGCACCCGGCTGTGAAGCCTCAAGCTGTCACAGCCTGGTGCCCACAGCTGAGATGCCGGAGCCATGGAGAGAAGAAGAGAAGAGACAGTACGGGTGAGAACATCGCTGGACCCTGGGACAGGTGAGTGTGTGTTTATTAAAAGTCAGCAGCTACAGTTTTCGTAGCTGCTGAATTTTAATAAACACAAAAACAGCTGGAACTCCGCTTTAACGGATGTGAAACAGATGATCATCCATTTATATCCACTATTCCATAGAAATATATGGGTGTCTGGTTTTCATCGTAAACAGACAGATGAAAAACCGACATACAGAACACCAGTGTGAAAGGACCCTAACTAATACCGGAGAGCGCAAAATATGGTGCAGCTGTGCCTGGTAGCCAATCAGCTTCCAACTTCAGCTTGTTCAGTTAAGCTTTTGACAATAAAACCTGGAAGCTGATTGGCAAAATACCATCAAATTCTTGAGGAAAATCTGCTGCCCTCTGCCAAAAGGTTGTCAATGGGAAGAAGGTTTACCTTTCAACATGACAATGACCCAAAGCACACAGCAAAAATGACCACACAGTGGTTGAAGGAGAAAAAGGTGAATGTCCTTGCATGGCCTAGTCAGTCCAGACTTAAACCCCATTGAAAATCTGTGGAATGACTTGAAGACTACAGTCCACAAGCGGTCACCATTAACTTTAACTAAACTTGATCAGTTCTGCAAAGAAGAGTGGGCAAATATTGCAAAGTCTACATGTGCAAAGTTAGTAGAGACATATCCCAACAGACTAAAGGCTGTAATTAAAGCAAAAGGTGGTTCAACAAAATACTGACACAAGGGGGTGATCCTTTTTCAGACTCAGTGATTCTGCTTTTGAATTTGTTTTATTTTTTCTGACATGTTATCTTTTTCACTTGGATGTTATAAGTTTCATTGAGTATATACAGTTGGATAAAACAAAAACTGTGTATGTCTTCATTTCAGGCTACAAAGCAAAAAAAATGATTATTTTAAAAAGGGGGGATTCTTTTCTATACATTTTGTAAATGTCTTGTTACACTTCCTTCCTTCCTTTTTTGAAATTATGTCCAATGTTATCTGCTTTTATATTGTCACATAATCTTTCTGATGCTTTTTAACAAGAGCCAAAGCCACTGAAACTAAACTTTTGTGTGAAGTGCTAAGAGGAGACAGCAGTTATTGGTGGTGTTACATAGTGGAAAAACCAACACAGCCTAAATACAAAAAATTTAAAAATACATAAAAAAGCAATAGATAGTGATAAAAGTAATTTCAAATGTTAAGGAATCCTTTCAAAAAAGAACTATAAAAACGACAACTGCAGATTTTTCTTCTAAAAAATGCTTCTTATGTGGCAGTCATTTTTATATACTGGCTTTAATACTTTCTGATTTACTGACAAGTATCCATAACAAGACACCACTGGCTGTATAATTACTCTTGACCACTGAAAGCCAGGCAGTTAGCATTTTCAAGAGGAGGTCAGCAGTTCCTCTCAGTAAAGGTTTTCTGAAATAGGCTGCTACAGATTTCTGTTTATTAAAGATGAACTCCAAGAATTATCTGTATTGCATACTCACCACAGTGTAAATATGCACCTCATACCTGATGGGCTGCTGGTCAAACTGACAATCACTGTAGTATTTGGCACTACTACAGGGAAAGCCACAATCTTCTGGGTCCTGCACAATTGGCTTCCCCTCTGCATACTGACTACAGGGGATTTCTCAAGCCACACAGCCACCATTCATAGAACATCTTGTGTTTTATCAATAAATACAAGGCAATCTCTGGTTAGTTGAGGTGGAGATTGTTATATCACTGTCCCTTCTCGCCAACTCTTCCAATCAAAGAATGTCTTGTATGAATTGAAAAAAATAGAGGGCATTCTATGAATGGTGGCAGTGCCAAGACAATGATCACCTATGTTTAGTGTGCAGTGGGGAAGCCCTCACGCAGATTCTTACAAGAACCTGGAAGGAACGCCAACTACTACAGTGATTTCCACCTTCCCCAGTGGCCCATCAGGTATAAGATATGCATATTTACATTATGCCAAGCTAAGCCAAAGTAAGTATGCAATACAGATAATGTGACTAAAGGCCAGTGCTGTTTATGTGTGTCACGACACCTGAGTCCCATCATTCAGATGTAACATGATATACTCATGATACACTATTTTATATATTTGGTCGTGTCCCATTAGCACTGGCATTGTACTGGCACTGCAGGTATAGTCTTAAATGAAGTTCCCAAATAAAAATGAAGAGATACACTACATGGCCAAACGTTTGAGGATACCTGACCATCATACCTGCACTATATGGCTGAAGTATATGGGCACCATTCTAAATGATTTTGTTCAGGTTTTTTCAGTGAAGGGTAGTGTTAATGCTGCAACATATAAAGACATTTTGAACAAGCCCCTTTCTTTTTCAGCATAACCATGCTCATGTGCACAAAGACAGATCCATAAAGACATGGTTTGATGAGTTTACTCTGAAAGAAATTAAGAGCCCTGACCTCAACTCTATTGAACACCTCTGGTGCAAGCCAGGGCTTCCCATCCAACATCACCATATTTTATTGACATTTGAGTGCATATCATCCTTAATAAATGTAACTTTTTTTAATACTACACAAAGCAGTCACTTTTTTTTCCTTTATAATTAACATGCTTATGGGAATCGGGTGCCTTTAGCTGGTGATATGGAGAGTGTCTATACCTTTGGAGGGGGCCCAGTGTTCAGCGTGAGAGTGGACAAAACCAGATGGATGTGGGAGACTTAAAGATGTTTAGTATAACTGCTGTTTGACCGCTTTGTTGTATGAGGGTCAATACCTGTTGGTAATAGGCACCATGTGCTTGCTGCTGGTGGAAGGTGTTGGTTATCACACATCATGTCTTTCGGGCACTTCTAAGGTGTTTCTGATACCCTTCTATGGTTTGGACTGTTTTAACCTTTAAAGTTTATTTTGTTAATGTTATCCTATTTAAGAGCTACAATCTTTTTTTACTCATCCATCATCACTACCTGATTTTATAAATGCTTTTTTTAGTGAATGGGCTCACCTTACCACAGACTGGAAAATCTTGTGGAAAGGCCTTCCGAGAAGAGTGGAGGCTGTTATTGCTTCAAAGGGTAGGGGCACATACAAATTAATGCTCATGGTTTTGAAATAAGATAAACAGTAAAATGAGAGAAAATGTATATAAAGAAATGAACAAAAAGAAAAAAAAAAAAACTAGGGTACTCACAGCAATGACTTCATGACTGTCATCTGTAAGGAGCCTGGGTGGCAAAAAGCAAGCAAGTGGTGAAGCTGGATGGTGCAATTGAGCTTTACTGCATTTTTTTGGAATGTGGAAAAGTACAGCAAGCACAGGTTGTGCAGATCTATCAGGTACAGTGAAGTGTGGTGCCCGCTACTGTCTATTTGAGAGTGGGTTAATGAACTAAACTCTATCATGCAAATGGAAGAGTTACTAGCCATGGCCAAAGAGAACCTTTCCAAATTTCAAGACTTGTGGTTTTCATGGATTGACTTTTCTGATTCCCCTGAACTATTGCCTTTCCTCGAAAATTTGGATTGCAATAAAGATAGTGGAGATCTATTGGATAGAATCCTCCATCACATATTTCACTCTTTTTTCCTCTCCCCCCTCTTCATATTCTGTCTCTACTGTTCTCACTCTGTTTTTTCCGTTATTCTTCTTTTTCTTAAACTCTACTATTGAGAAGGGTGGCTTTATGCGACACGTTATTTCGAACTTGTGTGAAGTAGAATGACAGCCCAAGTTGTGTTGGATTGGAGTCTGGGTAATTGCTTGACTAACCTTCTGATTCTCACTCCCGTGGATACATGGACTCTTGAGCCTGTCACCGACATACATCCTTAGCACGCTTTCTGATTATGATTTCATTCTGTTATATTATCTGGTTTGTCTTTCTTTGAGGCAAATATTATTGTTAATTTATATATAGCTGCAGCACTATGTCTACATGTTCGTATAAATGCCACTTTTCTTTTTCAATAAAAATTTTATTACACACACACACAAAAAGAAAAAAACTGTGGTGCCTTTGGATCTGGAGCAGAGAAACTTTCCCAGATAGTAGGTGACTGATGAGCAATGTATTTTGGAGGGGGTCTCCTCCTTTGTCAAGCCTCGGGTGTCCATAAACTTTCGGCCATATAGTGTATATGTATGTAGTCCTCATTGTTCATTCATGATTGTTAGGAACAGATTCTTTTGTTTTTTTTTTTGTTTTTTTAGATTTTAGGCTGCATCTAACCACAGAATTAGGGCACTTGACGTATCATTTAGAAACTTACTGAACCCTGATCTGGTTTTTGAGGATTTCTGCTAAAATAATACAACGTTTACTTACTTCCACGACAAGCCTGAATAATGATAATTTTTGGTTTATCTCGCAGCACACGGCAGTTCTCATTGTTGAATGTAGAAAAGATCTCATCAACATGTAGTACATTCATTGCCTCCTCTTCAGATTCTTGGCTGTCAGTCCCACAGATGACATCTCTTTGACCATGAGACATAAATACTAGGAAAGTGCTATCCGATGCCAGATGTTTTTCCTCAGCAGCAAAATCTTTCATTGTGTTCCGCATCTCCTGCAATGTTGTATAGGAATAGTTAAGAATTTGTAACAGAAACAAATACCACATCTCTGATCTCACTGGGTTTCATGTATTAAAACTGAAAGAAAACCCAAACTTTTGGAGAAAAGCACAACATTACAATTGGCATTTAGAAATATTTTTTACTTGTCCTTGTTTTTTGTGCTATTGTGATACAAATTTAATGTTGCCTGAAATGAAGTTTTAAAAAGTGATTATCACTGCACTGGAATCTGTATTTTTCTTGTGCCAGCTAGAAAATGAACATTTGCATTATAGATAAAAAGGACCAGATTTAATTTTTTGTATTAATCCTAAAGTCGACTAGGTTGTGTTATTGTAAAATAAGCATTCAATAACTGAGAACAGCCTCTTTCATCCAGGGTTCCTCTAACATGTCTGCATAGTGCCCATTACCAATGTCACCTAGCAGAGCCAGTGACATGGCACAAATGAAGCCTCTCTTTTCACTTCTCTGCCCTTCAAAGTACGAGGTATTCTTCCCACTGACCATCAATGTGCAGGAGAACTACCATCAATGTATGGGGCATTCTTTCCAATCATCACCAATGTAAAGAAACACAATTTTTGTATGTTTACAAAAGGAACTGTCTTGCATTTTATATCAGTACAACTACCCCCCTTTTTCTTCTGGTACAAATTCCAAATGGTAAGTGTTAGTGAAAATAATGTAAAACAGAGCAAGAAAAGGTGGAAAAATGATCTTCTCTGAGTGTCAGTGATCTGCTGCAGGCTACCACTACCCATCTCCTGAACATTATGCCAATTCTAAGGCAGACTTATCACTATGTGTGATGCTGCACAGGTGTATTCTGAACTTCTGCCCTGGAGCAAGCAACAGTTCAGGATTTCAAGCAATGGTGGCTTCACAAGCTTGATCTATGCCTCAATTGTGCCATGTCACAGCTGTCTGTAAAGTATAACTTTAGAGGTGAAGAAAAGTGCCCCACTGTAGGTGGTACACAGTATGCTTTAATTTTCAAAGAGCAGAAAGTTAAGATGGTGTGACTATTTCCCCTGAATCTACACCAGAAGATCCAATGGGGTTGGTTTACTAATACTGGAGAGTGCAAAATCTGGTGCAGCTCTGCATAGAAACCAATGAGCTTCCAGTTTTTGGTCAAAGCTTAATTGAATAAGCTGAAGTTAGAAGCCGATTGGCTACCATGCACAGCTGCACAAATTTTGAACTCTCCCGTTTTGGTAAATCAACTCCATTGACTTAGTAATGGTAGTGAGTTCAAAGTGAGTAGTGTGAATAAGACTCCTTTCCCTATTTGGGGGGGGGAAACATTACAATTAGGCATATACTTAAGCCAGACTTTTTTAATTAAAAAAATATGAATTTTTATTGTACATATCCCCATCTATAAAGTGCATTTAGGAAATAAATTTATTGGACATAGAAGAATATTTTGGGAACAATGCAAACAGTGAATGCAGACCAAAACACTTGCAAAGGCATTAAAAAAACTGTATAGTGAATTACCTGCACTGTCAAGTTGTTTTTTTTTTACAGTTTTGTATCCGAGCCCACATAACAGTTTCTCCATTCCATCCACATCACACTCTGCTCCATTGCGTTTTGCAAGTTTATCATCATTAAACTTGTCATTACAAATGATCAGAGCAAGACGTGTACGTTCTTCCCGAGGTTTAATAGAGTAAATCTAAAAGGAAGCCAACATTAAAGTAGAGGTTTTAAATATCATTGCCAACAAGCAAGTAAAGCATTTTTTTAATATCAGAATAAACTTTTTTTTTATTTCAGAATCAAAGGTTTAGACTGATAATTGCCAAGATTCTTGAACAATGGTGGGCTAAAATCCCAATTGAATGTTCAACAGTCACCCAATCTGTCCATATCTACCTGAAACCATATGATCAATCTCAGTTTATTAAAGTTTTTCAGAAACTGTACAGAAAAAAACATGCACATAAATAATAAAATTGGTAGGATATAAAACAGAAAAGACAAAATGAGGGCGAGGGAAGGGGAGAGAAAAAGGATAGACAAGAAAAACAATTGGCAATAATAAACAGTTACAGTCTGGCACTGAATATCTCCAATTGCAGACCCAAGGGTAAAGTGCAAGTAGTCTTTCTGTACAAACAATGTCAGGCCCCTGAAGAGTACAGATAATAAAGACTAAAAGAACCGCAAAAGGAGCAAAAACCTGTGGGATGATGTACCATATAGAACAATAGAGATCAGCCCAGAAAAGGGAGCGATGGAACCCACCACCAGCAATCCACACCCCTTCCCCTCCAGCAAACCATTGCCCAGAAAAACAGAAAGAAGAGGAAAAAAGAGGGGAGAAAGAAGGCAAGAAGAGGAAAGAAAGAAGAGAAAAAAGGGGGGGGGGGGGGGGGGGGGGAGTGGGAGAAGATGGGAAAAGAAGAGAAAAGGAAGAAAGGGAAAAAGAGGAAGAACAGATCCGCCTGAGGAAAGGCACCCAGTGGGACAACAAACCAGGATGTTTGTTGTCCCACTGGGTTGTTATCCCACAGTTTTTTTTCTAACATTTTGGGGGAAAAAAGATAACTCCCGCTCAAGCAGGCAAAATAACGCAAAGTGCGGGGGACTACCTCTACATATTCCAGGAGAGCCAGGTCTGATGACAGCATTCCGAATTGCCCAATTCCTGAGCCAAGAGCAACTCGATACGTCCAATGTGATCCATCTCCTCAACCCACTCCAAAAAGAGTCGGGACACAGGTAGTTCACCAATGGTGAGGTATAACCAGCTTGGCAGCCATCAGACAATGGAGCAGGAGTCCACATTTGATACATTTGAAGGAGCCAGGCAGGATAGAGAGCAGTACAATTTGAGGCATATTGGAGACCATCTGGTCTGTAACCACAGAATAAAGTCGCAAATAAGATCCCAAAACGCATGAATAGGGGGGCATTCCCACCAGACATGGAGAAGGGAGCTGGGGACAGCCCAACAGCACCAACAGAGATCAGAAGTGGAAGGAAAAATCCTGTGAAGTAAGGTAGGACATCTGTACCACCAAGTGAGCATTTTGAAATTGGTTTCCTGCACTCTACTGGTCAGAGACAAATGGTGGGTAAGGGTAAAGGATTTCAGCCAGTCCTCATCCGATATCCTGGTAGCAAGGACCCCAGCCCACTTAGAGGCATACGATGGAAGATCCAGATGAACCGTAGCAAGAAGAATCTGATAAATCACAGAAAGATGGCGTGGGGAGATCCCGAAGAAACAAGGATACGAGCGGTGTGGAGTTCCTGGTAAACAAGTCAAAATCAGCAGAAGTGCACATAAAGGAGCAAAGCTGCCTATACTCCATCCACTGGGCAAAGGTGGCCCAACTCCTCAGGGAGCAAGAATGTCAGAAAGCCATACCCATTATGAGTATGAACTACTTAAAGTATGAATACTGTCTCATGAAAACCAGAAATGTATGACAAAGGGAAATTTGGACAGATTGATCAAGTCCCTAAAGGCAACAGCAGCATGAATATTATTTTCAGCAAAGATTTCATTTAATAGGCTATGTCAGATATCTGTTTATGAAGCCTACCTCCTACAGCCTCATTAAAAGTGACAATAGGTCAGTCATCTAAGTGACTGATCAATAAATATGTGTGGGGGTGGGTTTAGTGGCACATTCTGACACCACCGGTTAGAGTATTGTCTGGCAGGACAGCCTTGGGGTTGAACATGACCGGAGGGTTTAGAGCAGGGGTGGGCAAACTTTTTGACTTGAGGGCCGCAATGGGTTCATATATTGGACCCGGGGGCCGGACCAAGAGTAGATGAATGATGTGTATGTGTCATCCATAGTAAATATTCCCCCATAGTAAGCATAGTAATTAATCCCCCATATAGTAATTCATCCCCCATATAGTAATTCATCCCCCCTATAGTAATTTATCCCCCATAGTCATTCATCCCCCATATAGTAATTCGTCCCCCATATAGTAATTCGTCCCCCATATAGTAATTCGTCCCCCATAGTAATTCATCCCCCATATAGTAATTCATCCCCCATATAGTAATTCATCCCCCATATAGTAATTCATCCCCCATAGTAATTCATCCCCCATAGTAATTCATCCCCCATAGTAATTAATCCCCCATATAGTAATTCATCCCCCATATAGTAATTCATCCCCCATAGTAATTCATCCCCCATATAGTAATTCATCCCCCATAGTAATTCATCCCCCCATAGTAATTCATCCCCCATAGTAATTCATCCCCCCTATAGTAATTCATCCCCCATATCCCCCATATTAATTCATCCCCCATATTAAGTCCCCAAGTCCCCCCTGTGTCAATTCACTTACCTTTGCTCCGCGCGTTCCTCTCGCCGTATTCCCGCGCCGTTCCGGTGTAGCATGAAAATCTATCTCCTATGAGGATCTGTCCCCCTCGACGTATCTGCGCATGTGCCAGTTTCAGGCATTAGCAGCCGATCGGCGATCTCCGGCACATGCGCAGATACGTCGAGGGGGACAGATCCTTACAGGAGACAGATTTTCATGCTGCACCGGTCTTCAGGGCGGACTGTGAGAGGAGCCTAGCGGGAGCCTAGCTCCGCGGGCCGGATTAAAAGGTCCGCCGGGCCGTATACGGCCCTCGGGCCGTAGTTTGCCCATTGCTGGTTTAGAGGCTGCAGCCAACAATCGTAGAGTAAAACTATGGGTAAAAGGTTAAAAGGAAAATATGTAATGCACCTTTAAAGTTTATTAGTATGGCTCCATTTGATTGCATCTAATGCCCCCATTAGTTTGCCATAATTACCTATACATTCTGTCAGGAACGATAATGGGAGCTGCAGTTTATGTGGAAACTATCCCACCATGACAAGGAAACTGTGTTTTGAGAGTCAGGGAGGCTAATGATATGGAGAATTATAAAGGAAATAAATGGGATTTATTCATAAAGAACAAACTAAATGACTTGACTAATTGATTAATGTCATTAGTATTTTTATATAAAACAACCTTTAGTGTTACTTTAGGAAAAGCATATGTTGCTAACAAGCAATTCTTTTTTTTTTTTGTCCTATAACTATTGTAATAGGAACCACTATCAAAAGTGGGCTTTGCAATGGTGATAAAGGTTTATTCATATGTCAGCGTGATCTAAAGGTTTAAGGGGAATTTTTATAATGATAGCTTGGCTAGATGGAAGGAACCCAGGGAAGACTGGAAGCAAGCAGAACTAAAGATAGATCTGGGTAAGGAGATTGGGCTATGATTGCATTGGTAATTTGTCATGTGTATTTTAATATACACTCACTGGCCACTTTATTAGGTACACCTGTTCAATTGCTTGGTAACACAAATTGCAAATCAGCCAATCACATGGCAGCAGCAACTCCATGCATTTAGGCATCTAGACGTTATGAAGATGACTTGCTGAAGTTCAAACTGAGCATCAGAATGGGGAAGAAAAGAGAATTTAAGTGACTTTGAACGGGGCATGGTTGTTGGTGTCAGATGGGCTGGTCTGAGTATTTAAAAAACTGCTAATCTACTGGTGTTTTTCACGCACCACCATCTCTAGGGTTTACAGAGAATGGTCCAAAAAAGAGAAAATAGCCAGCAAGTGAAAGTTTTGTGAACACAAATGCCTTGTTAATGTCAGAGGTCAGAGGAGAATGGGCAGACTGGTTCGAGATGATAGAAAGACAACAGTAACTTATGTCTATATTTACCAAAGTCTCTGAGGAATGTTTCCAACACCTTGTTGAATCTATGCCATGAAGAATTAGGGCAGTTCTGAAGGCAAAAGGGGGTCCAACCCAGTACTAGCAAGGTACACCTAATAAAGTGGCCGGTGAGTGTATATAGTGGAAGGAGAAAAGTACAATGCGGAACATGTGTAGCTACCAATATAAACTCACTTTACTGACGACAGACCAGGACAAGATGCTTTTGATTGGTTGTTATGGGTACTGTACTTTTTCTTTAGTTCTTTGGCCCTTGTAGTGTTTATTAAATAAGCTTGTCAAAGTTATAATCATGCTCACAAGCAATATTTATACATACGTGATCCTGTTCGTCTTGGGAAATTCTTTCATATTCCTTCTCTGAACACAGTGTGATTCCATTAATGGCTAAAAATCAAATGATTAAAAAACATTAGTACCTAATTCCATATCATATCACCCTACTATTAAAAACAGGACTGAGATACCCTTTAACAATCAGGTACCCATTATAGCATTAAAATGTACACCTGTTTGTGGTTTCTCCTATTCAGCATGTATTAGCTGAGCATTTCTAAACCAGAAAAAAGGATTTTTACTTTTGTATTGCAGCCATAAAGCTAGGGGTGGATGTCAGTAAAATGTTTAAAAAGCTTCATAAAAGTGCAAAACATTAATAAGGCAGTTTCAGGTAGTCAATAAAATATGTCTACAGCTTCAGTGATAAAGAGCAATCTGTTTCTTGTTTTTTTTTTCTTTTTAATATGAATAGGTGTACATTGACAATCAACAACATCGATATTTATCACTCATTCGCTTGCGCGGGTATAGGTTGGCCATTAGGCTCACATGCTGCACTTACATGATGACACCAGAGACCTATGACTGGGTGTGCAGCTAAGTGGAGCAGTTTGGGGGGACCAGTATTACAAAGAGAAGGAAGCCAGTGGGAGGGAGGATTAAGGCAAGTATTACAGCCTATTTTTGATCCTCCTGACTAAATCAGAATTTAATCTATGAATGTATCTGCATGTGCAAATTTTACAGCAGCCCCAGAGAAAGGCATCAACAGAAAGAAAAAGCCAAAACAGTAAAGTTACAGGGGTATGGTTGGCGATAACCATGTCAAGACACACAAGCCCAGAGCCTTGGGCTCATAGAACTACCAAGCTGGAAAAAAATCAGCTACAAGCTGACTCTAGAAACCAAAGAAGGCACAGGGGACACCCATGGCTGCAAATTAGTCCAGCAGAAATCATTCACCACATAAGTAACAGAATCAGGACTCCTGGCCTCATCCAAACAGTGGCTCGTGAACATTGTACAGATAGGTATGGGTCTGCTGAACACAGGCAGGGAAATGCTACATACAGGCATCCACCTCACCACCAGACTCCCCTAGCTCACTGCTGATGATTGAGTGGCTCTACTCTCCACAATTTTTGTGAGTACCTCAATTTTGTTTTTCCAAAACAATCATTTAAACGTTTATGTATTTTCTAATTCCAAATTCCCAGCATTCTTCTATAATCTACATTATCCTGAGAGATATTTTAGAACCTATATGTTTACAACCCTGACAAAGCAAATTAGAAGTGGCTTCCCCTCCATTACTGGGTTTGATATATCATGTAAATGTCATGTGTCATTTCTTGATGCCCGATTTAAGTAGAACTTACAAAACAAAGGTAACGGTCAAAGAAAAAAAGCTATGTTTCCCCTCTTCTGCACTTGTTTCATTATTTACACCTTGTACCACTTACTTGCCTGGCTGGGTGGCTCAACATTCTGTTCCTGTTTAGGCAATAGAGGCTCTGAAAAAATACAAGAAAAATAGCTGTAAATCTGACTGGTATAAAAAAAAAAAAAAAAAACACCCGCACTCAACAAATGTGATCAGAAAATGTATGCAATTAAATACAGCGGCTATCTTGAACCAAGCTCACAGCTTGTAATTACTGAAAAGTAATATGAAATAAGAAAACGCTGGATTGTCATGTATGAAACATGCGTGATCCAAAATAAAATAGTCCAAAATAATCTAAAATGTGCTCTTGACATCATAATGAAAGTTCATGGGTTAAAGGGGCAGGTTACCTCATAGAGGACCTGGAGGAGTGGAGGCTATTAGGCAAGTTTTGGAGCACATCAGGTGCTGGGAAGCATGTATTGACTTGCTTGTGTATACAAAGGGTTGCATACCACATGGTGAGTGTGGTATGTGGTGGGCAGTCAGGCAGGTGCACAGGGTGTTTTGCTCATTGATTCACAAGGAATTGTGTTATTTAACCCATGAACTTTCATTTTGATGGGAAGAGCACATAATCACATTTTAGTTTATTTTGTTATTGTTTTGAATTATGCATATGTTATATATGGCATACTAGTGCTGTCTTACTTCATGTTTTTTCAGTAAACCTAACTGGTTCTTAAATAGTAAAGACTGAATAATGAAATTAAGAGATATACAAGCTTTCATAAATAGAAAAAACAATCCTAATGTAATTTTTCTGAATAGATCCAGCAAAAATATTTCAGCACAATGGAAGACTTCTGCATTGAATGCTAGTAATTGGCTGTACAGTATATCACTCATCCATCAGTTAATACACTACCTATCTACTTCAAAGGATGGTCAAAGTGTAGCTGCAAACAAAACTTTCTTCTTTCTCTGTCATTCCTTTAGGCTGGCCATACACTATACAATTTTCTGTCCAATTTCCTTTAGATTTACCTTCAACTATGTAGTGCAAGGACCTGCCTAATTGGATACAATTTAAAGTGTTGTTTAGGTTTGACCTCATATTATATGATTTGTGGTAAATCTAAAGAAAAATTCTCAAGAAAATTGTATAATGTATGGCCATCCTTTGTTTTGTAAAGGGTGGGAAAGGTTTAGAACTTTTGTCAGGCTTTTTACTGCTGTCTGGGCTCCTATGGAGGAGATTTCTTTTATTTTCCTGTCCCCAACTGGAACACAGCAATAAATGCAAGACAGAGGTACTAATTCCATACAAACCTACAACAAAAAGAAAAAGTGAGGGGCAGGACAGATATGACTGGAAGAGGCAGGAAGGGAGGGGAAAAAATTTAAATATAACACATAATAAAAAGGATTTGTGGCAGTTGCTTTGCATGCATGTGAAAAAAATACATATTAAAAGGGTATCAGTCAAGGTTTGTACCTGCTGTATTTTCTTCACCAGCTAATTATTAATCTAATCATCATAATGCTATAGCCATATATAATACAGAAATATGATATAATAATGGGATCAGTTTGTGTACACCACTATTCTGTACAAGAGTGGTCTCCAAACTTTGCTTGCCTTTATCTGGCCCTTGGGGCAATATTTATCCCACTGATACGAGGCACTATTCAGCCCACTATCATGAACAATTGGCATAATTCCTGACACCAACGTCAACAATGGAATGTGATTTCTCCCACTGAAACCAACAGTAGGGCACTATTCCTCCCTTAAGGCCCCCTTCACACTGACGTTCCGATCGGGTCCACCTGTCAGTTTTTCAGGTGGACCCAATCGGCATCTGATCCAATCCTATATGCTAAAAACAGATGGATGGGGATCTGTCCCCCATCCGTCTAGTGGATCGGCTAACAGTCAGGTGGAAAAGGACAGGCGGTCCCATAGAAAACAGTGGGCTGTGTCTGTGTCCGCTCTGCAGTAGCACAGACCTGTCATGCACTTGCTCAGTGGGGATCAGCGGAGAGATCCCCCATTGAGCAAGTGGATCCGCTGACAGGTCCAAAAAAATGGGCCTAAGACAAAAAATGGTGCACTGTTTACTTTCACTGATGCAAGAACAAGTTTTTTTTCTTACTGGCCACAGTCCACCCCCCCTCAAGTCTGAAGGACAATAAACTGGCCCTTTGCTTAGAAAGTTTGGAGACCCCTGCTGCACAAGATAAAAGATAACAATGTTGGGTGTAATCCTTTCCGCCATTTTGGAAAAACTAAAAAAATATGCATATGAACTAAACTTTGTTGTTTTGTGATTTTTGAGCATACAGCTATGCAAAGTCAGCACCAGATCATCATCCAGGGCAATTATTTATATCTGTAAGGCACAACGTACATCTTTGAGCAAAACTGCCCATGGACATGCAGATTGGGTGATCAAACATTTCTCCTTTTCAGTAGCTTTTGGTTTAATCTATAACAGATACAGCCACAAATATTATCTACCAAATCTGACATATATGGGTAGTCTGGATGAATACAAACCCTTATTCTTCAGGGGACACTGGGTATAAACACCTTAAACTGCATACAGAGACTAATAAGGACTCTGGGTCATCACATCTTTCATCCTGCCCATATAATTTGCTACGCAGAGTATAATTCACTGTTTACAATCTCACTGATTGTATGATACCACCCACTTAGTTAATAAAATAAAATGAAACATGCATCCATGTAACTTTCAAATACTGTTAAAAAATAAAAAGCAAAAGTGAAAATAAAAGTTATGCTGCCTCCCTATCACATCTGTTTTAAGCAGGCTTTAAGCATCAGTATTTGTACCAAATGATAAAACATTTAGAATGTGCAAGTACAGTCACTGTCACTGGTGTCACTGTCAACACACCTACGATGCAGTACACCACAATGCACCATGCATTACAAAAATCATGTAGGGACAGCTTCATCTATTGTGGTGCCCTGGCAGCATATTCAAAACAAATTGGCTGTCTTAAAGCAATGCGCATTCATGTGCAAAATACATCATGTTAACGTACGCACGGAAACTCACCACAGTAGGTTGGAAAGTCTGAGGGAGGCCATAAATATTTAAACATTTAAATATTTAAAACACATTGTAGCACTTACTTTTCTGGCTGGGTGACTCAAACTTTGTTTCTTGTTTGGGCAATGAGAGTTCTGTAGGTACTAAAATACAAAACAAAAATAAAAAAGTGAAAATCTCCACTGATACACTGGATAGTCAGCATTTACATCAAGAAATGTAATTAAAAGAAAACTGTCCATAAAGAAAAGAAACATAACTTAATGGTCTGTGGAACAGATGGGGGGCAGCCTGTGCACTTCTATTATCAGGGGAAAAACAATTAGACAAAGTTTGGTGTTAGCCCTCAGAAATTTCAGCTGCTGGCATTTGTAAATGTCCTATAGACACTAGATTGTGAAGGATTTTAAATAGTAATATAGTAGGAAAATTAGGAGTACTAAATTTCAGAGATCAGAGTACTGACTACATCATATTTATTGGTCTTCAACTTAAGGATGAACTAGATAATCAGTCTCTCTCTCTCTCCATTTCTCCAAAGTCATGAATGTAGACAATAAAAGGTGATGGGGAAGCTTGAATTGCATTGACCACTACTGGGATGGAGGGAAGGCCATGTATGAAATTCATAAACCCTCCAAATGACTGTGGCCATAAAGTTGGTCATAGACGTCAGAACACAGTTGGATGTGCAGTCAAGATTTGGTCACTCTAACAATATAAGGTATAGTGGTGCGAGACAGCCATGGGGGGGGGGGGACAGCCCATATATGAGTAGGGGGCCCTGACATCCCAAGAGGCCTGAGCCCCAACAAGGCGAAAAAAAGGGCAGTTCCCCTAGACCCAGTAATTTTTGGCGCAGGAGGGATAGAAGGACTACAGCGGGAATACACTGCAAGAGAGGACATAGCGGGGAGATGAGACCGGAAGAGGAGGAGGTTGGATGGGGGATGGGACTGGAGAAGGAGGAACACATGGGATGGCAGAGATGGGACTGGAGGAGGAGGACAAAGGATGGAAGAGATGGGACCGCAAGCGGAACAGGACATGTGGTGGAGCAAGAAGAGGACATGGGATTGGGGAGATGAGATTTAGGAGAAGGACATGGGATGGTGGAGATGGGACTAGAGGAGGAGGATATGGCCATTGGGTGGGCCCTGGGGAATGTTGGTGGTCAAGCCCAGGGGGGCCCAGGCCTAAAGTTGTGTAAGGGTCCCCAAAAGCTCTGATGGCTGCCCTGTGGGGGTAGTTAGCATCTATAGTTTGGAGGCAGAGAGGTTCCCCACACCAGGTATGCATGGCTCAAGTCCCAAGCCAATCTGAAAATGTACAGGATACATTTAGGAATATTGTTTAAGCGTTATACCATATATCTTTTTTATATTGTTCTGATATCCAAGCCAAGATAACCGGTATTGTTTTCCTCTATCCACTATCGTTAGGTGGCATACAGTAGTTTTCTCCTCAAGGAAAGACGGTCATTCCCCCTGACATTCTGAAGCAGAGCTCAGCTTTATTTTATATGTAACATTAAAGAAGAAGTGTCACCACAAATTAAAGACCCTTGTTGCACGTAGCTTGTGGTCCAATTCTGATCTATGCTGTAGTTACTGACAGTGCACATGTGAGGTTACAATATTCATTTAGGTGATTTGCCCAGCTGGAACACTGGAACAAACCTTTTTAAACCTTGCTGACAGCACAAGAGCTAAACCAGGGCATGCAGTGAGTGTGTGTTACCCCAAAGTGAGTAATCGGATTCTCCATTTTACTTACGCTTGAGTTCTCCTGTCAGTTTTTTAGGTGAACCTGATCATACCATTCATTCTCCTCCATGGAGCGGCGGGTGTAAATGGGCATGTGTCTGTTTACATCCACCTCCATTGAATCTGTTAAAAACAGATGGATGAGAATCTGTTCCCCATCTAGCTAGCGGATCGGATGGCACTCTGGTGTAAACAGACAAGCAGCCCATTTACATCCGACTGTCTATAAAGGATTACAAGCTGTGTCTGTATCCACTCTGCAGAAGCAGTGTACACGGACCAGCCATCCACCTGCTAAGCGGAGATCAGCAGACAGTTCCCCCACTGAGCAAGGGGACTCCTTGCGGAGTCCACCCCATGTGGAAGGGGCCTAAGGCTTGATTTGCATTTGTGTTTGATATGGGAGAGACCCAGCAAGGGTTTCCAGCAAATAATGTAGATGCAGGCAGAAGCCCAATTGAAAACCAATGGAAGGCTATTCATGGCCACTCACAGGTAACCTCTCAAACAGCAATTACCAGTGAATGATTGGCCCTGATCGTAGGCCGTCTGGCCAGGGCTGATCATTAATAGGTTTCGCTGCTTGAGCCATTACAAGCAAGCGGCCAAGAACAGCTGTGGGAGCTGTCAGCCTAAGATTGCTTTCAATTTGGCTTCTGCCTGCAGCTAATTGCCGGGAACGCCTGTTGGGTCTCCTGCATCTAATTGCTAACTGCCCCATTCGCAAGTGTGGCCTAAAACCCCACCATGAATATTTGCGTTCACTCTCCCTTGTGAATGTTGAAACAACAAATGAAGGGAATCTTTCAAATAGGTAGTAAGAAAGAATATTTGTAGTAGTGCAGGGAGGGAATAAAAACATTTGGTCGGGTTTTTACTGCTTAAAAGTAACAAATTTAAGGCGTGCCAGACCAATTATCAAAAAGTCCAAATGCTTTTTTTATCAGGTCAAATTAAAGTGACATCATCTAAAGAAAGGAGGAGTACCAGAGGCCTTGAAATGTGCTGGCTTCTTTACTTCACCTAATCTGTACTGGCATTCTCATTAGACCTATTACTTGTGGACTTCAAACTCTGCATCCTCAGGTAGGGTTAACCGGTTTTCTTGAGAGCAGCCTTACCAGAAGCATTCTGCTTCACACACTGGACTGCCTTTCTACAATTATGAGACATCGGGAATGCAAATCCAGTTGTCTGTCCCAAAAGTAGAGCAATTCCCTTCACATTTTATGTAATTCACCAGTGGAGACATTCCCTTAACATATTATGTAGTTATCAGGACAGCAACTCAAGATAAATTTCTCCAACCAGAACACAAGCTGACAGTGGTTCTAATACTTCACCGCTATATATATATATATATATATACACATACATACATACATACACATATACACACACACACACACAGTGCTCAGCATAAATGAGTACACTCCAACAGATTTATTAGAAAACCTTTACTTTCCTTTCAGAATCCACATTTTGACACTATACTACAAAATACACCCACAAATGTGGGCCATTGATTGCAAACAGGATTTTTTAATTTGCACAAACAAAAAAGTATTTCTCCTAACAAATTCATTCAAGTCCATATTGCAAAAATGAATACACCCCAATGAAAGTCTTGGGAGCAAAGCTAAATTTTAGATAACAAAATCCTAATTAACAAGAATTCAACTACAGGTGAGTCTAATTCATTAAACAGGCATCCAGCAGACAGTTGATTATAAAAGGGTGTTACTTAACAAAGAAAACCCCTTCCCATTTCATGCTGTCAGCAATGGCACCATATGGAAGAGAAATATCACAAGGCCAGGGAAAGAAACTCTTTCCTTTACCCAAAAAAGCTGAAGGCTACAAGAAGATTAGCAAAGCTTTACTTACCAGGTAGAATACTGTAGCAAAAGTGATACAAAAATTTAACAAAGATGGAACTGCAACCATCTCGCAGAGACATCCAGGCCATCCACGGAAGTTAACACCTTGACAGGAGCGTCTTCTGATGAGAGGGGTTGCTAAAAATCAGTATGCAAGTTCATTGCAGTTAGCTAAAGAAGTAGAAAGCCAAACTGGGGTGATTGTTTCCCTTGACACAATACAGCATACACTGCAGAGGAATGGCATGCATGGGTGTCGTCCACAAAGGAAGCCTCTCTTGAAGCCCATGCACAAGAAAGCCTGCCTAGAATTTGCCGGGGCCCATGAAAAAGCAGAAACATACTGGGACTCTGTACTCTGTAGTGAAGAGACCAAGATAACTATTTTTTGAAACTGATGGCTTCAAAACTGTATGGTGTCGCAAAGGCGAGGAGTACAAAGAAAAATGCATGGTGCATACAATGAAACATGGTGGTGGCAGTGTCCTTCTGTGGGGCACTTTTTCAACATGACAATGATCCAAAACACATATCTAAGGCCACTATTGCATTTCTGAAGAATAACAGGGTGAAACAGAGTGAAAGTAATTCATGTCTCCTGATTTGAACCCAATCGAACACCTATGGAGAATTCTGAAAAGACAAGTTAAGCATCACTCTCCATCCAGCATCCAGGTTCTAAAAAGTCATTCTGGAAGAATGGAAAAAGATAGATGTTGCAATATGTCACCAACTTGTTCATTCCACTCCTAGAAGATTTGCTGCTGTCCTTATAAAACACGGAGGTCATACAAAATACTAGATGGAGTAGTTTTTGTTGTGGGTTGTATTCATTTTTGCATCAACTAATTTGATTAAAACTGAAATTTTGTAATCTAAGTTATATTATTAACCTTACTTTCATGTAATGAGCTAAACAAATGTTCTATAAAACTCAGTTTTGTCAAAATTGTGGAAATTGTTCTTGTGTTTATTGAGATATTGATTAAAATCTTATTTTTCAAAAGGAATGGACTCATTTATGCTGAGCACTGTATATATATATATATATATACACACACTGTAAATTGGACTGTCAGTTTAATGGGAAAGCAATATAAGTATCTAAATCCCTAATATAAAATTGCAGAAGTTCACCTGTTATCCCAAGTTTTTCGCTAAGCATCAAGTCTCTTTCTGACACTTTCTGAATCAGGATGTTGCTAGATGCATCTCCCTTTTTCCTCACAGTATCAACAAGGTGCCGCATTTTGTCACTTGAAAGAGTGTATTGTTCTTTAATATATTCTACCTCACCATCATTGAATATCTTTTCTTCAAGTAAGTCATCCAGAAGGCCCGTTATAAGTGTCTTGTTTGAACCTTCAACTAATCCCTTTCTTAGTTTATGTAGTTGATCTGGAAAATAGATATGTATGTTATACAGGGAGAAAACTGGTTTACATAGAGAAGAAAAAACACTAGACCTGCAAATATAGAATACATAATAGCCAGCTGAAATATGTCTGAAACCAACAGTGGGCATTGGCCATCATATTCATGTGCACTTATAAGGATGTCAGAGGATCAAAATTGATTCATGTAATGACAAGGTCACTTTTTACACCTAATAATATGGCTATGGACGGTTTAAGAGGTATTTCAATTTATGTTTACATTTCATAAAGCTTGCAATTTAAATTTCCATGCTTTCCTTGTGAAGTATGGTCAAACATGTAGTGCATTGATTGAACATAATATTGTCATTTGTTAATCTCAGATAGTCTACATTTCTTTTGTAATGATCAGTCAAGGTGGCCTTTACAGCAATTGATTGCACCTCTGCTTTTATGACATAAAAAAAGAGAACATTCCCTTGGGTGTGTCAGTCTTCCACTTAAGCAGGCCATACATTAAAGAGCTACTCTACTTTTGTTGAGAAAAAACCTTACCCTCTGGGTGATCAATGTACATTACAAGGATTTTAACAAACTTTGTTGCAGAGTCCTAATTTTTGTTATTCTAAAGAAAGAGATAAATGTTTGTCTGTGTCCATGTGCAAAATGAATCTGATGGGAGTGTTTTCAAAATTATCTATCAGCTGCTGCACTTGCAGGGTTCCAATGAAGAAAGTGGCAGTCTCTGCACCCTTTAGGTGTGATTTCCAATTTGGAGTATCTTACCAAAAATGATATCTTTGCTGCAGGGGATGCCTGAAATCTGAATTGTATCTTAGTGCAGACGTCTGGGAAAATCTGTGATCCAATCACACAAGCAGGAAATGATGTTGCTGGAGGGCGTTCTGTACATATTCTGTGTACAGAACACCTCCAGGTAGCCATATTACATTGCATTTTGCATAAAATTACAGCACTGCAGATTGAAAAGGAAAGGTAATTTTTTAGGAACACACAAGTACAATATGACTTGTATCGTAATTGTATATGCTATATTATTTTTTTTTTATTTGATATTTTTTTTTCCACAAAAGTGGAGTTACCCTTTAAACAAGTTTCTTTCCAGCAACCACAGGTTGCAGAAAAGAAAACGGCTTGATTTCCCCATCAACACATTCAGAACTGCAGAGCTTTTGTATTCTGTCAGCGGGAGGTTTCCCACCCATCAGAATACAATATTCACTGCTATAGCTGCCAGCACTGATTGAACAAGAAAAACCCAACAGGCTAGTTTTACTGAAGTCAATCGATGGATCAACTTCAATACAACCAGCATGCCCATACATAGATTGAAATTCGGTTGGTTCTTGCTAAATCAGCCTAATTTCAATCCATTTATGGCTGGCTTTAGTGACTGTGACCTGTTCTGCACCCAATCTTCCCAGGGTAATCTTTTACTGGTTCCTTTCCTTTGCATGCTTCCTCTCCTGACTACTGCCCCTTACAGGGGTGAACATAAATTTTCACAGTGTGCAGCTGCAAAAAGACCGTTTGGGGCTTAGGGCCCCAATTATACTAGAGGTTGGTCAGATGGGTGCTGGACATGGCTTACCTCTATCTGTTAACCTGTAGACAGGGAAAAAGTGTTTTTAACTTGGCTAGTAGGTAAATGAGGGGCCAAAAGATTAGTCTAGCACAGGGTGCCCCTTGGTAACTCTTCAGCATTGACCCCTTTGCTCCCCTTTTCTCTCTCACTCTCAGTGCCCTAATATTTGTGCTCTCTCCACTCAATTTTCTTCATTCGCTGCTTCTCCAGCCCAAAATTGCATCTGTTTGTGCTCTTGTCCTCCCCTTCACCACTGCACTTCAACAGCTGCTGCAGGCACAAGTACATGAATGAAGGGTCTTGTCCCTTGGCTACTATAGACTCCTGTGTATAAATTAAATGTCATCTGATATTTGTATTATAAAATACCAGAGACCCTCTGTGTGTGCGCAAACTGGTTTATGATTCTGGTTGATGTATTTTGGTAAAATACTCTGGTGGCTTTAAAAGTTTTTACGGATTTTACATGTGGACTTCGGGGCGCCGGGAAATGTCTATGCACACTCCCTATTTCAAAGACTCTCCCCTTTCTTTGACTTTGTGGAGACTCTTTCAGTCCACGACCTAGCGTCTAGGATATTGGTATTTTGTTATCTTACGTTACATTATGTTAATTAATCTGCAGTATGGATGCGGGTCTTTCTTCGGCCTTGGTGTCTTTGGTTCCTAACTTTTATCTTTTTTCCTTTTCCTAACTTTTTCTACTTTTCTTGTCTGAGGGTCAACCTGGGAATTTTGTCCTGCCTTGGGTTAATTGACCCTTTATATGGATGGGTGGGTTTGTCTGATAGTGACTTCGCCACTTGCTTCCCACGTCTACTTAAAAACAATGCTCTGCCATGATCCAATTGCTCTCTCATAACGTCCAAGGGTTGGGCTCCTTTTCTAAGCGACTCCAAATATTCTCCCATTATAAGTCTTTGGGAGCCGATATTGTGGCCTTACAGGAAACACATTTTGCCCCTTCCTTTACTTCTAGATATATTCATAGGGATTTTCTGACTTGTTTTTTCGCTATTGCCTCCAAAAAAAAAGAGAGGAGTGGTGCTCTGCTTTTCTAGACAGTTATCATTTGCTGAAACTAAAGTTTTAAGGGATAGGGAGTGACGATACTTCCTGGTGAAGGGTCATTTAGAGGGTAATATGGTGTCTTTTCTTATCTACTATGCCGCTAATACGAACCAAGTGGCCTTTTTCCGTTCTCTTTTCACGTCTCTGTTTAAAGAACTAGAGGGAGATGTGATTTTGGCAGGAGAAAATATACTTGATAAATCTCACGTAATTAAACTTAAATCGCCTTCTAAACAAAGCCGCGATTATGACTTAATTGACGCGTGGAGGGAGGCCAATCCCACCTCTAGAGACTACTCCCACTTTTCAAGCGCTCATAGTCATTATTCCCATATAGACCATGTTTTCCTCCCCTCGGACATGATCGCTAAGTTGCATTCAGCTAAAATTATAATCGACACCTTGGTCGGTCCACGACCCTGTACTTTTAACGCTAATTTGACTGTTAAAATGGTTAAACCACACTGGTGATTAAATGAGCCCTTACTAAGTGAAGCCTGCTGCTTGGAAGTGGGTGAACATCTTAAGTCTCTATTTCGCAATTAACATGGCGGAGGACACAAATTCCTCCATTAATTGGGCAGCCCACAAAGCCTCAGTTCGGGGTTTTTTTTATCCAGCTGTCCACCAGAATTAAAAAATCCTGCAAAGAGTTGATCTCTACCAAATCTAGAGAATATGAATCGTTAGCTGCCCAACATAAAATTACCCTGACCTTGGATTTTTTTTTATCTAAGGTGGAACATGCTCGGCTGGAGCTTAACCTATGCCTCACCACAAAGGTGGAAAAACAACTGCATTGGATGAATATTTCACATGGAGGGATAGACCAGGTTCTCTTCTTGCACGTAAGCTTACCCCCAAATTTACTCACTTGGCACTACCTAAACTCCAGTAGACGGGGGGTACTATCACGCAGGATCCTCAGACGATCCTTCGGGAATTTCACGATTTTTATGCTTCTCTATATAGTCCCCCCACAGCTAGCAGAACCCTCTTCTATTCGATCCTTCCTAGAGTCCTTGCCTATCCTTTCCCTTTCTGATGCCCATAAAGAGCTTATGGAACAACCCATTACTTATGAGGAGCTCCTAAAAGCTATTAAATTACTACTGTTACATATATCCCCGGGGCCTGACGGCCTCCCCAACCAGTACTACAAAACGTTTTGTGAACATTTACTTCCTCAACGACACTGTACTTTAACTCATTGCGAGAGGAAGATGTGGTCCCTTTAGATGAGAACAAGGCATACTGTATATTAGTGTCATTCCTAAACCAAATAAATATTCTACTGATATTCATAATTATTGTCCGATTTCAATAATTGCGACTTGAGAATCTTAACGAAACTCCTAGCGGTACGCCTTAATTCCTTTCTGGCACAATATATTCATAAAGATTAGATGGGATTTATATCAACTCAAACATTAGACCAAGTTAGTAGATCTATTACCCTGATATCAGATGCCTGTTCCAATTGGGATGCTCCTCTCTCTAGGGCACTCTTACTTCTTTCTCTGGACCTTCATAAGGCCTTCGATAGTGTGACGTGGGAATATTTATTTACTACCCTGCAGGCCTTTGACTTTGGCTTGACGTTAATTGCTCTGTTACATTCGCTATATGCTAATCCCTTGGCCCAGGTCTCCATCAAAGGCTACAAATCCTCGGTGCTCCCTATCCACAGAGGGACTAGACAGGGCTTTCCACTTTCGCTGTTGCTTTTTGCTCTGGCAATTGAACCCTTGGCTCAGGCAATTTGGTCTCATCCCCAAAGCCATGGCATCCGTTGTGGCCAACAGAAACATAAATGTGCCCTATTTGCCGATGATGTTCTTATGTATCTTACTTCTCCTTTGATAACTATTCCAAATTTACTATCATTATTATGCCAATTCTCCGCTCTTAATTCCCAAAAAATGACTACCCTTAATGTTTCCTTACCCATATCTGATGAACAGCAGCTTAGAACTTCCTACGATTTTCAATGGGTGAATAAATCTTTACCCTACTTAGGAATACACCTTACCAATTCCATCGAGACACTTTATCAGGCTAATTCTTTCTTTAAAATACTTAGGGATGATCTCCATCGTTGGGCTGACTATTCCTTATCCTGGTTTGGTAGAGTCAACTCAATCAAAATGACGTTTCTGCCTCGACTACTCTATTACTTCCGGACCATACCGTTAGCAATTCCATGATGAGATTTGCGGCTTCTACAAGCTGAGTTTCTTCGATTTATTTGGAATAATAGACGGCCCTGGATGAACCAGAAGACATTATATGCTTCTAGATCGCGGGGTGGTATTGGCCTTCCTAATCTCCATGCGTACTTCCAA